CCTATTCAGATGGTCTCCAATTGGACTCCTCTCATTATGACAACTAATGTAATAAAGTAATAACAATATCATAAAACAGCAGATAGTTGTATAAAAACAATTGATGCATGTCTAGAAGCATTTGCAATTTTTAAAAGAAATGAGAAACTGCAACTGTGATGTGGATAACTGACTAAAGGCCTGATCTTTAGGTTTGTGCATCTTAAAACATCCAGACTTGTTAGTATGCTCAAAGCAGATCTTCAGAGAAGGCACAAAGCTATAACCTGGGAGGCCAGGTTGATAATGTGTAGCACTCAGGATTAGTTACTACACATTGTTAATCTTGGACTTCTCCCATTAAATCTGTTTGGAAAAAAGAGGAATGTTTAGCAGAACCTGAAGCAGCACCTAGTGCCCACCTTCCAAAGTTTGGTTTTAGGCAATCATACTAACACATTAAATGGCAGTAGACATCATTTAAGACCACAATTTCAGATTTTACACTCTTGCTGCTCCTCTTTCAGAAATCAAATCATTGATTTTGACTAAACCGGTGAGATAATATCAGCTAAGCTTATTATTTTCTGCAGTGATATCTAAGTAATATCCTAAAGTTAGGATATGTTAATTAAGCATTTACAGTTTTTGCATCTTTTTAAAGTATTTCTAAAGGTCAGGTTCGAACTCACATACGCAGGAGGCATTTGTACAATTGCAGATGATGGAAAGAGATTATTTGCACATATAAAAATATTTGGACTCTGAAATAAGACCAGTAGAATAACATTGATGGCAAAAAATGTCTACTCAGGCCAATCAGCAGTCAAAGACAACATTCACATGTTTTATGATATTTTTTGTTTTATATTCGACTTCATCATCCCTTTTTCTTTTTGTTTTGTTCATAGTACTTTGAAATTGGCTGCCTATATAAAGTGCACTATAAGTGCTATTTAGGTTTTTCATTGTTATTATTTAAATAATTATTGTAATTATCACCTTCAACCTTATCTTTAATTTATGGGCACTTTGAAACTGCTTGTTGCGCACACAAAAAATGTATTGGATGGCAGAACGATGCCAATTTGCATGTCTGAACATTTTAGCAACAGTTTATGTAGATTACATAAAACATGGTAACTTATTGTATGTGCAAGCTGTAGGGGTTGAACCAACTGTTGTGAAAATGTTAATATTGATGTGAAAAATGCACCAAATGTACTGAGAGGAACGTTTTCCAAAATGTACATGCTATGCATTCCTGCTGCATTAATGCAAGTCCATTTTATTACATAAATTTGGGCCTTTGAACTGAATGCTTGCTAGCCAGAGAATTCTCCACTTCAGCTTAGAGGAAACAGAGTCTGTGATGTTGAAGGACAAAATAACTAAAATTTTAACTAAAAAAAAAACAGCTCTCAGATCAGTGAGATTCTTCAACTTCAGTTCGTTGGTGCTCTAATTGAAGAATTTATAAGTAGTCAGGATTTTATCTTCAGGTTACCGGTTTTTACTGTGGCCTAATCAAAGATGTGGATCATATGATTGCATTTAATGTGCACAACACTGTAGATAGTGTGATGCTCAGTATCAACATATCAACAACATTTTTCCACTGTATTTTGCTGTTATAAAAAAATCCCTCTCTTGCTCATTGTTTTACAAATAAGGCTATTTCTCAGAAAGCAAATGGCTCACTTTAAGCACCTCAAACATTGCCTTCTTTATATTTCTATAAATGTGCTTTTAATGCCACAATTTGAGTCATTTATTACGCTTATGGATGTTAAAACAACAGGAGGATTTGACTTTGGAGAAGAAATTGAAGATTTGGTTACATTAGGTTTAGTAAATGTATAAATATTTAATCAGTCCACATTGCTGTTGCAGGCCATTCATTTTCTAACACGCTTATCCCAAGTGGGGTCGCGAGGGGTGCTGGTGCCTATCTCCAGCTGTCTACGGGCGAGAGGCGGGGTACACCCTGTACAGGTCACCAGAAAGACCCCGGGCCAGGAATCAAACCCAGAACCTTCTTGCTGCAAGGCAGCAGTGCTACCCACTGAAACACTGAGCAGCTCTGTTGCCCGTCATTCACAAACAAAAACTTCTGAATTCTCTCTGTCTAAGATTAGGTCTTTAGACAATATTTTGTCTTAACAACATACTAAAAACCATACATTTCTAATCAATCATCATATAATATAGATAAACCAAACATTCACAAAAGAAAGATGCTGTAATTAGAATACTGTCATGCTTTGGCTCAAATAATAAAATCAATGAATAAAAAAAACAATTTAATCTAGGATAGAAAAACATGAGCAGCCTGCAGTGACTCAGCATTTTTGCATGAATCAACTTAGATATGTTTTGGCTTTAGTGAGGCAATGGAATTAGCCCTTATATTTCTTGCTGCCATATTTTAGATGTTTGTCAAGTTTTTTTATTTTTACTGGATTACATATGACATGGATTCTTAGCATAATAGCCATAATATTAACTCATATCAATCTTTAAATGTCTCAAAACGTTCATTTGTAGAGTCTACACCACAGTAGAGAGGTTTCGTTCTGATAAACCTGATTCTGCCTTTCTACATTTGGCTTTACCATAAAAAAATAATAAATTAATTAAAATAAAAATACATGCCATTAGAGTTCTTTAAAGGTGCACCAACCATTCATGTTCAATGAATCTTTTGACATAAACTTAGCATTAATTGAACATTTTCAGCATACCCTTTATAGAATTTTTTTCTGCTTTAAATTCTATTATTCTCATTGCTCTGGGTCACTTATTTATCTCTCTGTTTTGTAACATAATGTTGCCATTTCATAACTTTTTACTTTCATCGTTCTTACCTGTAAATGAAGTCTAAAGCTTTGAAATCTTTTATACAGGTACTTAATATACGCTATGATATACACTTTAAGCCACATTTCATGCACTGTATAAAAAACACATTACCCTTTTTTCCTCTCATTATGAAAGAAATCACTAAATATTTCTAAATTAGTGTGTGACATGATGACAATACATACTCAAATTGTCTCATAATTATTTAATTGATATTAATACATATTATTGTATTAATTAACCAGTGATAAACCAGCCAATAAACAACATGTCATCTTAATCTAGCTTAAAGATATAATTCACTTCCAGAACCCAACCTACCAGATGAGCATTTAGTGACAGTTAACAGTTGCTTTCCCTTTATTGTTGACTTTCCAGCCATGCATTTAGCATCTTTGGAAACAAAAACTCCCCTTTAATAAAAAAGAACTCTCCAACAGAAACAGACTCAGTGTAAATGGCCATCTGTCCCAACCAAATGGGGTTTGAACAGACAGACCATACATACAAAAGGAACACAGCGCTGATCAAGAGGTACGTTCTATTTTAGAGAACAATTAAAGCTTAGTTGCAATAGTAGCTCTTGCACTGGCTTTTTCTGGGAGGGAAACACACCAAGCAGATGATCATGGAGTCATTAATCATGTCTAGAAGATTAAACGGTAGCCTATACAGTTAGTTGCAGTAAAAGGCCAGCCAAAACCAACTGCTATTGTTAGCCTTGGGCAAGACACTTCAGCAGCCTTGTCTGCTGTTGGTGGTCAGAAAGCTCAGTTGTGCTCAGTTCATTGTCTGCCTGCCTTGTTTCTCTCAGTCTGCCCCAGGACAGATGCTGTGGGTACCACCATCAGCGTCTCAATGTTTGCATTGTTATGCAACAACTTAGATTCAATGCTCACTCTGGGGGATGGAAAATATGATAGCTTATCAAATAACTTTCGGACTGTCATATGTTTTTCTGTGAAGCCACTCCTAACTGGCTGTTTGTTAGTTCATCAAAAAGTTTGAATTAAGCTCAAATAATGGTCAAACTATCAACCCTGCACTCATTTTCAAAGTATAGCAACTCAGCCACAATTATTGAACTCTGAATCAACAATTTTGTGTGTTAACTACTGTTGACCATACAAGTGATACTCAACTAATAACTACTATCTACACAGGAAAAAGGCAAAACGAATGTTTAAAAACCATAATAAGTATAATGATGCAATGGTATCATGGTTCAGCATGGATTGTATGCTTGAGAACCAGATTTTATACTGAAGAGTTTTGAATGAGGCCAAATTAGCTTTTAAACTAATTTAGAGCAACTTAAGTCACTCAAATCAATTTCCATTGCAAATCCAAGAGGTGATCAACTTTATTTGTTAAAATTATATTTTACCAAAGGATTTAGATTTAGCCTCGTTGGAAATCAATTATCGTTTGGTTAACTGATTCTCAGCCGTATGAGTTTGTTCCGAGTTGAATAATCTGGGGTTGTAACCGTTTTAATTTCTTTAGCAAGTTTTGATTATTAAAACAATCATGCAGACTGATTTGAATGGACACTATGGTCATATTATTCAGTCAAAATGTAATGAGAATATCAGCAATTAATAAATACTAATATCAAATTAGTGTTTGAATCTTTATTGAGATGGGGGGGCTACATGTCGCTGTGGAAGTATCTAGCAGAGAGTCTGCAGCTCTTAAGGTTGGTGCGGCAGAGCAAAATTGGATCTTTCTTCAATTGTTCAAAGTTAATACCATAATGGATATTGGTCTTCAATGTCCAAAACTAATATCATGCCTTATGAAATAACAGCACAAATTAGTTATGCAAATACAAGCCATTTACTTATTATTTAATATTTACCATCAGCTATGTCTATAAGAAATATAGAGTTATCATTTATTTAGAAGGGAGAACTCAAAACAAGCAAGTCATTTTAGGGCCATCTGTTTATTTTCTGCTGTTCCACCTGTATTTAAACAGGTCTCTTGTTATAAAAAGAATTCCCTTTGTGAATTGAGATATGCAAACAATCAGGTTTGCTTCTATACTGCAATATAGAAACTGAGGCATCTGATATGGTTTGATTGTTCCATTTGCCTCAGTTAAGTTTCTATAAGCTGCCGTTTGAAGGACTGACCCCCTCTTTTTATCTTCTTAGGTGATCTCCTGCTGGGGACCAACAGCCTTTTTCAAAGTTTATGGAAACCTGACCTCCCATTGGTGGAGAAGGTGAGAGTGGGCTTATTTTTCTGAAAAATCCTTGGTTTTCGCTGATAGATTCAAATATGGGCTCATACATACCTAACCTTTTTTTTTTGGAACCCTTTCTTTGATGAATAATGTTTAACGCACCAATTGTAAGGAATGAATGGCTCTTTGTCTTTGTGTTAATATTTAATGAGAGTTACTTAGTGTGTATAGAGGCCAACTGGAGGACATTTTACTTAAATTGCTCACCTGGCTTTAATATTTCATTGTTTGGCAGGTGTTATACAGTGTGCAAATGTCTACAAGTTTAACATACATACTGTTTTAAAGTGTGTATTTATTCTATAATTCCTACTTCCAAGGTAGATCACATGGCAGATAAAAGAAGTGTCTAAGCCAACATGTGTCTTAGTAAATATATTTTCAATTCTATTGACACAAAATGATACAGTTTGATACAGTGAAACAGTATGAAGTAAGTAATAACAATATTGCTTTAATGTATTACTTAAAATTATTTTTTTATTAAAAACTTTGACAACGTCAAGATGTTTTATGGAGATTGTACTTGCATACAATGCTCTGTTTGATTATAATCCACTCTTCTAAATGAAGGGTCTTAAGCACACTGATCTTTAGCCCCTTCTACAGCTTTTAAATTTTAAACAAGTCAGGTAAATGACTAAACCAGTCTGTAAAAAAAAAGGAAAAAGGCCTGACACCATCATATTGCCACCCCAAAATTAAGCTAGTGTGAAGTATTATTTCTCCAAACATGGTGCCTGCAATAAAATAGCTCAGTTTTTGTTTTATGTTATCAAATGATAGCCAGAAAACCCAGAGAGTGAAGGAAACAGAGGTGAGTCTCTTCTCCTCCTCCATTTTTGACAACCCCATGAAATGGTTTTCCTATCACTGCATGTCCATGGCATTACAGTAAAGTATGGTTTGGACCTAATAATTGCATTTTTGTTGTTATGGTTGTTTTCCTTTATCTAATGTTATTCTATCAAAATGTTAGACTTTTCCTGAAAAGGAAAACAAACTTATATGTTAAAGGTTTCATAGAATGCAAAACCAACTTTCCATTGTCATAGATGAATAACGATAGTTTAGTGGGTGAAATGGATGTACAGAGAATTCCAAACCCCATCGACAACTCCTTTCTCTGCAAATCTCACAATTCAAAACTTCCTCCATAAAACAGGCGAATACAGATGAAGCACTGAGACGACGTAAACTCAGGGATGTTGCCTTATTTGGTTCCTGTACTTTTGGCACGTCCTGAAATTGACATAAAAACCAGCCCACTGGTTCACGGCCCAAGAACATGAATAGAGGTAGATGTAAGACTCCAGTTTAGCCTACAGTTGGGTTTACTTCTACAAGAATAACAAAGCAGGCAGTTTCTCTATTGAAAATGACCCAGAACCACGGGTGTAAATGCAGTGTTCCAGGCTGCACGGGGAAAGGGGAACATTTTCACAGTCTTCCCAAGGATCTGAAGACTTGACAGGCATGGATTATCTTTGTCTATCAGAAGATCCCTGCAAAGTTTGATGCTCAGCTGTTCATTTGCTCTAAGCATTTTAACCCCAACCAGGCAGGCGGGGTGGAGCACTGTGCCACCGGTGTCGGTTCGGTTCAAATGCCCGGTGTGTTTCAACAACATGCAGGACTGTAGTCGACCAAAATCCAGGACGACTTTGAAATTCCCCCTGGACATTTTTTAGGTATGAAAAGTAGGACATGTCTGGGAAAAGGAGGTCATCTGGTCACCCTACCATATCATCAATTTGATGTTTCAGTGAGTGAGTGAGTGCTTGTTGCTATGATGCGTCTTTGCTCAGCAGCTTTGCTCGTTGTAACCAACCAATCAGAACACAGCTCATCTAAATATTCATTAGGATACCATAAAAGGAAGAAAACTTGTCGTTTCATTCTGGGGTTCTTTACCGGGCTTGCATTAGGGCTCATAGAACAGCAAATATGCCATTTTCAGCCCAACCAATGTTACACACCTTAGGGACCCTATATAATAATGACCTCTATAAGAGTTAAAAATAAATTTTTGATGTTAATGTAATGTAAAAATCTAAAAAACCTGGATACAAACAGTGACAAAGAAACAGTTATACAATTAATAAGATTTGCATCTGGGTTTTAGCAAAATAAATCAGACCATCCGTGAGATGATTGGCTGTTTGGATGATTTGTTTCACCTTTATTTTAGGCATAAAACACATTTTATCCGGAAAAACTTCTCAGTGGCTGTTGGCCTAACAGGTTTGCTTCTGGTCCTGCTGGCTAGTGAGTAGTTTATGATGGAATTATTTATTTATTTATTTTTTTTCACCTCTGGATTAAGAACCTAGCAATGTGTATGGAGTCACTTTGTGAAGTGCAAATTTTCTTGGTATGTCTTACTTATCAACAATTTGACACTTTTACCAAGCAGGATAAAAGATAGGATAGGTGTTTGATAAACACAAGCAGATCATTTTATTTATAATCAGGCTCATCAGAACACTGTGGCCTCATTCAAAAGAGCTTCTCGAGGGATTCTTTCACTTTGAATTAGGTGAAAATAGCTGGGTCAGGGGAATACAGTGAACTTCTAATTTATAATAACTACTGATAAGTCTAGTTGGGACAAGGGGGGGGGCAGTTTGTTTAGCAGCATTTTGCTGGAATCCAAGATTGTCCTTAAAAGGTATTTTCTGCGCTGCATTTGCAAAAGAATGTGTAATACTATTTTTTAATTAATGCATTCAGAAGATGTTGATTGTTCAATTGAATATCTATTCTAAAACAGACCAAAGCTGGAAGGATTTGAATGAATTCAGTCTCCCAGAATGGTGTGAAAGCAATCAGCTACATGAGACTGGACATAGATTGTAAATGTAAACTATAGGATGGTATGTTATTGAGTCTATAGCTTTAACCAACTTCAAGGAAATTATAAAACTTGAGTAATGATTTAAAAATGTGATTTCAACACTAAACTCAACTCTAGGCAGTATTTTATCTTGAGTGCCAACATGGAGAGATTGTCAAAAGTTTTGACATCATGAGGCTTTTATCTAATAAAAAAAAAAACAGTCTACATACACCACATCTAAAAACAAAAAAAGTACTCCCTTGTTATTTGCCAATCAACAGCAATTTAACAATTTAAAGTGTTTGACAGATGATTGTATATAGGCATCCATTACTCTGCGAAGCATGATTTCTTTTTAGTGTGGAAACAACTACAAGTTGTGTTTGTTTTTTAATTAGGGCCTTGTTTCTCTTTTCTATGTGCTGCTATTTGGTCATGGTTTTGACTAATACTTAAAAGCATAATCGCTTTTCCTTTTAATAACCAAATGTAGATGCTTTAATTATAAAGTCTACACAATAAAACTGCAAGATGAGGCTATTGAGTTTTCCTTTTCAGGTTTGATTTAAATCTCTTATATATTTGTTTTGTGTATGGCGAGATTTTAGGAAACAACACATACACTGGATTATTCATCCTAAATGGTCTCTCAGAGTTAGATGCCTATGCCTTGTAAATTGTGTGACCATTAAATAATAACAATAGTAAATTATATATTTTCTAAAATAATAATCAATGCAGGTTGTTATATCAAAACCATTGAAAAGGATGAAAAAAGTGTTTTCATACATTCTGTGAGAGAAAACTCTTAAATAACACCAATATATTTCAATGGTCCACATCCATGAAGTGCAGTTAGAGATAATTATAACTGTGTCCTAGTTGTGCAGAGTGCACTTTTGAGTGAGATAACAACCTATTTTCTAAATGTAGGCAATTTAAGGCCTGTCTGTTTAAGCATTACTTCTAGTTCATCAGAGGACATCAGCATGGTAACCTTTTAGAACGTTTTCCTTATGTTATAACACATATCGTAGTTTTAAAAAAAACTGCTAGGGCGAAAAAAAGGTGCAACAACCTAGTTTCAGATGTGTTCACAGCTTTAAACTATGACAGTGTTGTTCAGCTTATAGCCTTGAGTCCATATTTTAATTGGCTAGAGTGAATCTGATGAAAAGAAGTTCAGCTCTCTCAGATGGTTTTGAAATGTTCTCATCTGTATCCCTTTGCTAAATTTTGTCATTTGTAGAGAGGCTGCAAGTGAACATATTGTTTAAAGCTGTCAGTCAGATTGGTGCAACATTCTGCAGCATTATACAATCATGCTCAATAGTTAAATAGGGGTTATTAGCTAAATTCTCTGATTGAAACTACGTTTAGAAAATAATATTGAAGTGGATATTGAACATAATTTTTTATTAAAGCCACATTTCGTGATAAAAATGTTTTTTTATTGGTCTGGTGTAATAGTACAAATTTAAAGGTTTTGGTTTCATTAGCTGTATCAAATCATCACGTTTAAGGTCAATTTTTAAACATACATCTGAGTGTACATTATATATATATATATATATATATATATATATATATATATATATATATATATATATATATATATATATATATAATGTTTCCTTTAGTTTATTGAGCCATTGAAATAAACTTGAATAGAATTTTCTATTTAATAATTTCTTTTCAGACATAAAAGAAAAATGGGGACATATTACATAATAGTTTTAAGAGAAGACAGCAGTATCAGTGCAGTCTCTGTATCCTCATAGCTCATGATTTATATGTAGACGTCCACCAAAACTTGATTTCATTTGAACAGCAGGAGAGTCATAAAAACAGATCTTATTTCTTCTGGAAAATTGACCTTCTGTCTGTTATGACGTTCACAGCAGCAAACTGGTCCATCTTTTGTGCACATTATTACATTTCCCCTAGATAACTCAGTTTGCTGTAGAGTATGTTTGAGTTCCTGTTGTCATAGTCTTAAATGTATAGCATAATTTTTTCTTTCTTTTTTATTACTTCTTACCACCTGTCTTTCTCTTCCATCATTACGTTGACATTTTTTTTACAAACTTGAGTCATATATATATGCATGTTGTACGATAGTATGTAAAGAAAACAGAAG